GTCGGATGGCGAGGCAGGGCGGTCAAAGAAGACAAAACACGCGAGAGATCACGCCGTTCGAGAGAGCACGCCGATATCGAGGTGGGTGGGAAGCGTTGCAACGGGGGTCGATGGTTGCAGGCCCGTAAGGATTAGCGCCCTAACCGCGCAACTTTTGCGGCGAAGCTGGAGTGATCTAGGTAGGTAGGGACCTTACAATTTCCCTCGCGGTATCCTTCCACAGGTCGGGCTAATCCCGGGGCTTGCCCGGGCTAATCCCGGGGCTTGCCTTTAAAGAGCTTACCCTTGGTACTATGTAAAGCGTCCGCTTTTCTGTTCGGACTCCAAGTCGCTACTTAACATGTACACGTACTTAACTAATGTACATGTACTTAACTACTAAACATGTACACGTTTCAAGTTAACACATTGACGCCCGCACTGATTTCGGCGCATGTCACACATGTGACATAGCTGCATTACCTGCGTGCATACCCGGCGATGCACAAATCTCACATTCGGGACATTTTGTGGAATTTCTCTACAGGACCCATATATCTCGCTACAAGACCCATGTATTTCGCCACAGGACCCACACAATCTCAACTGCAACCTCCCCATTGGGCTGGCAACGTATTGCTTTTGTCCTTTCTTTGTTCTACTTTTTCTCGTTTTTTCTTTCGCTTCTTACTATTTTTTGCTCGGCTTCTCATCAGAAAATATATTCAGTAATTAGTAGCCATTGGAGTTTATTGTTGAACAGTTTATGAGGGTTCAAATTGAGGTTCCAAAAGTATCTTGAAATTGAAGATGGAGAGCAGCCATGTGTTTAGTGGATTCAAGGCACTAGTGGAACTTCTATAGTCACAGAAGTAATGAAAAAATATAAGGGAGCTTAAAATCAATGTGCATACCGGGCGATGCACAAATGTCAGATGTGGGAGTTTCGACGTGCATACCCGGCGATGCACGCGGGCTGCAATGTGTTATCGAGACGTTTCTAAGCAAGTACATGTTGATGTGTGGACAGGCGTTTGCGAAATGCCCCCGTATATTGTGATAGCACCCTTTTGCATTCGAGCCCTTCATTCAAGACGCTTTTGATAAAACTTCTACTGACCCTTCACCGTTAGTTTCTATGCCATTCGATGCGGCTGTTGTACCTCTTGGATGAACTATTGTTACTGTCCAGTTGGCTTTGAAACTCGGCTCGTCAAAACACGGCACCATTCGACGAGCGTCTGTTGGCTCCATTTGAGAGACTGCGACGATTCTGAAACAATAGTCTTTTACTTTGAACTTTTGAACGTTCTGCGCGATGCCATAAAAAGCCAAGAAGTACGTGGATAAATAAAATTCCACGAGACGAAGTAGAAAAATAATGGAAGAAGGTGATAAGTGAAAGACTTTGAAATAACTGTAATAAGCAGGAGCAATCGCATAATCACTGCGGGGTCGATCGTGCGTTGAGAAATTCTCAACGGGGTGGTCGTATTTGTATTTCCTGGATGGGGGCTTGTGCAGAGTATCATAGCGCTGCTAGTATATATATGGAAGTCGTGTTTGTTAGAGGAAGAGAGAGATTCGATATGAATTTTCAAGCACTCCATCGCAAAAATGCCGATGGTAGGTGGAGGTTGGTGATAGTAACTGTTTTTGGGGACGGGGTCGATGAGGGTCCCTTGTTTTTGAAAGCACGTAAGTTTTGAAATTGATGCAGTGGCTTCTGCCCTTGATCCATTGCCTATTTTTCAAAATATAAACCTACACATCATCGTCAGCAGCTCAACGGGTCCTGTTTTAATTTCTTGAGCTGAACATGCAGTAATGACCTAAATCAAGTCACTGCTCTGAGGAAACGGACTTAGAAACCGTGACTCTGCTTGTGCAAGACAACTCCGTCCCGTAATTTTTCATACAATCCCAAACATCCGATGCAGGCTTCCTTAGAAAATTTTGTCATAATTCTTACGTCTGGGCGTGAATTGAGTTTTTATACCTTCCAGCGTTCTTAAGGAGTTCCATTTAGAAATAATTGCCACAAATCGATTTCTTCCATGAGTAGGAATGCTGTGCAATAGAAAAGCATTTTGATGGATTGTCCATTGGATGCGTGGACTTTGATTATTGTTTTTTTGCCTATATCTGTATTTCGTTTTTTATACCAGATTAGTCCCCCGTCAACCGCCGGGACCTTCCTTTCCTGCGCAAGCTTTCTATCCTCCGCTATGGTCCCTTCCTCCTGTGACACCAACACCTCCTGGAAGTGACGCGTATGCAACACAATGGTGTTTCATACAGTAGAAGGGACACAATCATGATATGACGGTAGATTTTTCGCTTCCCTTCCTCATCCTCCCTTCCTCTCTCCACTGCCCTCCAGCTGCCACTGCAGCACCATGTGGAATGAACGGAAGTGTGCTAAGCAGGTGTTTATATAGCCCTAAGAGTGTTATCACAACTATCCTGCTACAAAACATTGATATCTCAAATCCTGTAAGCTACCCGATTTGTTAGCGGTTTGTTTATCCCATGAGCTTCCTTCTCACTCACTTCATTTTGCGGACGGACACACATACATACATACACACACACACGCACACACACATACAGATACACAAACCGACACACAAAGTTAGCGCTTTATAAAATAGAAGGATATATGTCAGGCCAGGTCATAGTTTGCGAATCGAGCGATTCGCTAGCGAACTTTGCGCTCGAGAATCGACCGACGCACCAGCGAATCGAACAATGTGCCAGCGACTCCAACTATGTACCAGCGGGCGTGAGGTCACTGGTGGTTTGAAAGCGGCGGCACCCAACCTTTAAAGGAAGGCCCGTCACTTCCAAACAGTGTATCCTTTAGAGTGGACTTTCGTTAAATGTTGGGTCTCGCCACTCTCGAACAGTATTGAGTCGCTGGTACCTAGTTCGACTCGCTGGTACATCGTTCGACTCGCTGGCGCAAAGTTCGATTCGCTGGTGCAACGTTCGATTCGCTGGCGCAACGCTCGGATCTAGCGATTCGCTAGCGAATCGCTCGATTCGCAAACTATGACATCGGCCTAAGTAACCAGATAGTAAAAACTCATTCAAGAAAGCTATTCATAGAGCTCTTGGATCACTTACAGCAGCATCCTCGAGTACAGGGATACATATGCTTCAACTTACAAGGGGGAGGTCTTTCAGGACATGGAGCGTTTTTTCAAAATGGTTACCTGAATGTTGTAGAGGCTCATGTGAGGAACACAGAACCATGGTTCATTTTTCCTGAACGCCCCCGGGTATGTCAAGAGAGCGGGAAAGAAATGGTCCAAAGTTCGATCCCCCGTGACGACAAATTTTTGCAATTATGTTGGCGCTTCCAAATTGCCGCAGAACACGACTATGACATCTATACTCGACGATGGCGCCATTTGGCGGCAATCTGGGGCGCCAAACTATATTGCAAAAATTAGTCATCACCGGGGATCGAACTCTGGACCATTTCTTCACCTGTTTTGACATTCCTGGAGGCGTTCAGGAAAAATGGATCATGGTTCTGTGTTCCTCGCATGAGCCCCTACAACATGCAGAAAACCATTTCGAAAAAGCGCTCCATGTCCTGAAAGACCTTCCTTGTTAGATCCTCTCGAACTAAGGATGAAGAGAAACGACATCATAATGGTTTACAATATCCTCAACAAACGAGTAAATTTGAGAGCTAGTGAATTTTATGAGCAAATACAGTCAAGAACTAGAGGGGAAAAACTCAAGCTGACTTTTCGACAGCCTCGTACTTCGGTTGGGCGCAGGTTCTTCACGTTTCGTGCCGGGATGGAGACACTTGAAAATGAGCAAAGTAGTTGAAATTCCGGCCACTTTCCCCCAAATTCAAAAGCACGGTCTCTCGTTATCTTCATTGTGTCAAGTGAGATTTTCTCATCAATCCTGTTTTACTAGTTAGGTTTGTCTTATATTGTTCGTTTTTTCTCTTTTCCTCGGTCGTTGTGTTGTATTCGTGGTTGTGATTATATTCTTTTCCATTTCACATGCGGACTACATGTAATGAAATAAGTTAGCGCTTACTTGGTCGTTCCATCTGTGTCTTTGTAAGTAGCCTGATACAGTCCACCGAGGGTGTCGCTAATGAGGCCGCTATAGACAACCTAAATGTCATGTGAAAATAGTTTCAGACAAGAAGATGAAGAAATAAGAAATTGTACTGCGAAAGTCAAGAAGAGTCCAACCTTGAGCAGAATTTTCTGGTCTTTTTCCAGTTGTTGCTTCAGAGTGAACTCCAGCTTCTCCAGCCTTTCATGATCCGTCACATTTTCAATGTCCAGTTTTTGATCGCCCTGAAATCTTAGTGATGATCCTTGCTCAAGCATCTTTTCGCTAGTTACACTACTCTTCAATGCAAGCAATCATGTAATCGTTTCTACTTATTTTATTTTATTTATTTGTTTATTTGTTTATTTACACATTTTTTATGAGCGCCGATAAGCTATGGTAAATATACCGTAGAAGCCGAGTTAAGCTGAAATGGTGTCCCGGTAGTGTAAGTGGTAGCACAGTTGTTGGTTAGACGAGGAGTTCATTTTTGCATCCCTCTCGGGCCGAAGAGTTTTGCTCGGAGCTAAGCGTTCTTGTGATAACGTTTGCTTGGCCACTGAAGAAACTGCCAAAATTGGCAGCTAGCATTGAAAACCTATATTCATGCTTTCAAAATGCATGAAAGAAGTGGTGAGAGGTTCGCAGTCAGCTCGTTTTGGACTCGGATTCAGCGGAATGGGCATGTCTGGAAGAATGTGAGTTTAAAGTTTGGATCCCCATTATCCCTCGAAGACAAAAATGGGTGAAGCATTCAAATTCCAACAGTCTTTTCCAAATCTGTTCGAAAAACGAATGCGCTGGTAGCTCAGACAGTTAAGCATGCCAACGCTTCGATCATTCAAGCATGCTTGGAATTCCATTTATTCCTTTCATAAATTACTACATTCACTTCACGATTTCAGCTTGAGTAGATGGAGCGCACACGAATGCTTATAGCATCAAAAAAAATGCTGAAATGAATGGCCAAACCAACCCGAACCCTAGGTGGGCCTCTGTGAGTACTGATGAGCTATGGTACAGTTACCGTAGCTTATCGGTACCAACACGGGGGGGGGGGGGGGGCGGGGGGGGGGCGCGGGGGGGGCCCCCCGCTGGGCTGAGTTATCAGCACAGAGCTCATCTAAGATGAAGTAGTGTCCGGTACGTGATAGTGCCCCGTAAGCAAGAGATGCGAGTTCAAGTCTGCATAGGACCATGGTTTTGCTCACAAATTGAGAAAATTCTTGAGAAAATTTCGCTTGAACTGTGGCGCAGCGAACAAAAACATGTGAAAATTACAACTTCGTACGATCGACAAACCCTTAGACGTCCTTACGCAAAGATCCCAGTCCAACAAAGCAAAAACAACATTCTTACATATTTTCGATACAAAAGTATGTATATTAACGGTGCCCAAAACTGCCAATAATGTAGAGAGGAAGAGCGTTTAACCGCTTCAAAAAATCGTGTCTTACATCATGCTTCATAAACCATTAAACACAACAGCTGAACTTAAAGGCACGCTCCGCGATCAGGCGGGCTCGCCTGTTCCATCCAGGGGGTAGTAGGCAGGTGGACAAGTGTTGATGTCGGGCCCCTTTTGCGGCTTGAAAGTACGCGACAAAGGCGCAAGGAGCTCGTCCAACCCGCAACTCACACCTTCGTCCGCAAGCCCCACCCTTCGCTGTCGGTTGCCACGTGGCGCTGCTTGAAAAGCGCGGGCGCATTTTGAGGCAGCGGTCCCATCGGGATCCAATGTCATTGGCACAGGAGCAAGTAGAGTTAGGTTCGTGAAACTCGTCCAATTCGCCTCTTCTCTATCCCAAGGTGGAATGTGGCTGAAAAGGGAGGTCTCCGTACGGGCGTAATCGGTGGTTTCGTTTGCTTTCCTTCTCTTTTAACAGACCACCTCCCACCTATATGCTTCATAACTTTCCGTTTTTCCCCGTAATTTTATGAAGGGCGGAAGTGGTGTAGTGACAAGTGGCGCGCTTACCACGCGAGCGGTCCGGGGATCAAATCCTGGGTCGTGAGTCGCCCGGGCCAACCAAGCCTTCCATCCCTCCGGGGTCGGTTAATTGGTACCAGACTTGTCTGGGAGGATAAAAACACTGACTTGTACATCGGCTGGCCCCCGCAAGTCATTGTATAGGCCACATCGCATTCAAACGCCACTGCGAATGTACAAATGGAAGTAGAATGCGTGCCGCATCCCAAAAAGGGATTGATCAACGGCAAATGCTTTATCCTTTTATCCTTTTATCCTTTTCTCCCGAATCTTGGCCTTCTTGAAGGAATTCCACGGAAAGACTGCTTATCCTTTCCTTGTGTACAGGTGTTGGGCATGGTCATTGAAGACCATATGCAAAGTTCAGAGCGAAAATGATGAAACCCCCAAGAGAAACAGCCCTGGAAAGACCCATCTGTGGGACCGGATTGGACCAGTAGGCGGGACCGGAAGTGCTTCTGTGACGAAGTGCGTGGCAGGTGCGGATCCACGTGTCAGTTTATGGGAAGGGTCCAAACATGAATCCTGTTCACGTTCACGCTTTTGACACGTTTGCACGTGTTGACTCCACCGCAGCTAACAGTTTGTGGAAGTTTAACAGTGGAAATTAAAAATTTTCATAGTTCGAATTGGTTATCATAATTATTATCAAAACCATCGCCTATGGTCCGTTCCTTTTGCTATCTCATGAACCAAGGGGCCTAAGGTATCATTTTTTGTAGGAATGGAGGCGATGTTTTTCCGTGGAAGATTCCTTTAAGGCAGTCGCGCGGAGGCTGAAATGCAGATTTCCATATGGGACCAACTCCCGAATGACCGGGTAGAAACCTTACATATTTTTTTTGCTATTTTCATTCCTTCAAGAAGCAACGCCACTTCAGTGCGTTGAATCTGCTTAGGTTTGTTGACGTTTGGATGGGAAGCGGCCCACCTTTGTTTTTCGCCTATGGAAGAATGTAAACTTACCGCGAACACCTCGCATTTTTCTGGTATCACCGTGATTTTCTTGGCATTCAGCACGATACTTTTGGTTGGCTCCACTACCACCATGGAAATTTCCACTTGCCCATCGAAGGTGAGATTCTTCTCTGGATGGAAAATCCACGTAACCGGGCAGATACGTTTTGATGGTCAAATCGTACAGTACTGAAACAAAAAAGCATCAAATGGCAGGATTATGATTATGTCTACTGCTGCGGTATAAATGTCCTTCTAGGATTATGAATCTGAGTCGTCAAAATAATAATATTTCAGCAGCCCAGTACAATTACCCTACATATGTATGTATATCTGCTGCACCACACTTCGATATCTTCTACCCAAGATACGCTCTTCTGAATAAAATCCGGAAGCAGCTTTCACCTGACTACGAGCTTTTCTGAAGTATTCAGTCCCTTCGCCTAGAAATGTGGTTCAGGAGCAATTAGCAGAGATCGCAGCCGTAGGCACGAAAAAGGGAGGGTTCCCTGTTTCCCAATTCTCTACTGCGTTTTCGCGAGTTTTCTTCCTTCCTCGATCGACTGTGATGTTACGGGATCGCTGCGCCCAGCTCTTCTCGATGTAGTTGTTCTACAAGACCTGGTCGCTACATGCCATTTCCACGTTTTCGATGGTAAGGCGTGGCCCCAGATCACGGTATCAAAAGATGCATCAGCTTCTAGGCTCAACTAATAGGTCGGCAGTCTTTCTTGCACCGACTGCCCCATTTTCGCCCCTCTTTCACTTCCTTATGATTTGTAGTACACATGTTATATAGTAGGGATTACAAAATGCTTGACCACTGCAGATGAGCCTACCTATTTTTACCTGGTAATCATTACCATACAAATCATCGTTACTCATTTTTCCGGTCTTTGGGCTGTTCTGGTGCCGAACTAGGCAACATCGTCATCGACATCGCGGATTCAGAAGTTAGCCCCACCCACCGCGGGCGGATATTCCCGTACTACGTTGTGCTCGTAGAATCTGGCCCATGATCCACGCATCCCGTGAGTATCCCCTACCGCTAGGGGAGGACTGAAGGTCTACTACAGTTTGACGGGTACTGGTACAGAGTTGCCCTCAAGAAGCTCTATGCTTTCATATCTACGGTTATTGGAAGTCCAAAACACGTTCGGTTTTCAGGGTTACAGTTGATTCGTAAATTTACAGTTACGAACATGTGTTGAGGAGGACGGCATTATTTCTCCCAAAAGACGAGTACTGACGGTCAAATTTCGTAATATGAAAGGACACTTGGGTCGCCACATACTGCTCTGCGGGGAACAACACAAACTTTTTCTGGGAAAAATGGCGTGGGTCTGAAGAAATCGGCAATTACTTATGACTCAGCCTAATAGATAAGCTGTAAGATTGTTGCAGTACTTACACGGCTTTATGTTTGTGGGGAGACGTAATTCTTCTGCAGAAGGAGAATTGTCATCCCCGCCTCCGGGCTGATCCCTGAAAGGAGTCGACTTGGAGTCATAGGATGTCGAACTATCGAACAACATTTTTAGATACTCCGAAGAACATACGGTTCTTTTGGTTTTCGCGACGTATCGTACGCATTTCGTGTGAAGAGATAGGTGAGACCAATAGAGAGCGCAACGGCAACTGCTATGCCTAACAAAGCGATAGAAAGGGTGATGGGCGTAAGCCGTAGCACTGTCCGCCTCCGTGGCCTCGGCTCCTCCATCTGAACAAAATCTGTGAAAAGGGCTGAAGCTTGAGTCAAGAAATAGCTATCAGTATCGAAAAGACGACGGAGGGATTATAAATCGAAACAAAGAGGTCATTTCAGGCGGATGGGTGTCCCCAAGAGGCCCATCGCGCGGCGAAGGAAGAGACGCAGACGCGGCAAAGGACGAGTCGCAGCGCATACTGTAGCGGTTAGGCGTCAGGTTAAATAGAGTGTACCATACTACGTCTCATATCGCACAGCACGCGCTGCGACTCGTCCTTTGCCGCATCTGCGTCTCTTCCTTCGCCGCGCGACGGGCCTCTTGGGGGATTTGACAGGCGAATAGAAGGATAGATGAAAAGTTACAATGGAATTGTTACTATCCATGATCAACAACTGTGAAAGAAAGTGAGAGTAGAGCAAATCGTACAAATAAAGAAGGCAAGGCTTAAAAAAAGAGTCAGAAAAAGCATTGACTACCGGGTCAGGCTCATCATGGGCCGTCGAATCATAGGGCCTGCCGAATGAATGATTGTGGTATATGGTAACCTTATTCTCTAAACAGCGTTATTATTACGACCACAGTAATTTTCATATCACTTTACAAAAAGGTTCAAATAGAGAGCGCCATTCTTTCTGTATTTTTTTACTTCTTCATTCGTCAGGAACACTCTTTACTAAGGGAAGTTCGAAGTCCAAAGGTGGAACTGCAAGCGCTGACCAGCTGAACTGTGAAAAAAGAATACTGCTGATAGGACACCTGACGATTGTGCGATGTGACTGTGAGAAAGAGCTTGACGTCTGGAAAAGAAATCAAATCTGGAAAGAGAGGGTTGTTCATAGGAGAGTACAGAGATGAGAGAGACAAAAACCAACACCACACTCGTCAAACCCGTCCATTTCAAGCCGGTAACAGCCCTGCTAAGCTTGCCGACTGAGAAGACTCCTAGCATCATTGACGAGCACCCTCAAGCAGCGAGAACTTAAGAGATTGAAATATTCACTGAACTAATTCTTTGGATGATCTAGGGTTAATTTTACGATTGGGCCATTTCCTAACGCAAATGA